GAAAAAATTAGCATTGAGTTTCTGATTCTTCACCATCAGATGCATAATTTGTCCTTCTTAAATTAGCTTTTTGTTTGTTGCCTAATATAAACAGTCCAAAATGGCGATATCTGGATTTTTAAAAAAAATTTTAGAAATTTATTAGAAATCTTAATTTAACCGGATAATTATGTCTATCCAACAAAGAGCGCATGTGAATGTATATAAATAATTGGCTGTATCCAATAGCCTTCCAATGACACCAACTAGCACAAAAAACTCGCTAGATTCAAGACTCTCGATTATACCCTAATAAAGCAATGATCAATGTTAGGTATTTCAATACCTTTAAATGATGCTTTTCCGTTTCGATATAAAAATAAGTCATTGCAAAATCTGTCAAATTAAGTATTGTGCAACATGTTGCAATAAATGGAAGAATGGCACTTAATTCTTTGAGGAAGTTATCTTTAAGTGCAATTAATTTCATTAGGCAAAAGGCTTCAAGAAAATTTGAGGCCTGAAAATTTAATTGAAATATGGCTTGGCAAGAATTAGACAGGCTTTATGCCGTTGGAGAGAACTTCTCACTCTCTAATGCTACGGTTACATAAAAATCGCGCGCGACACGCGACAGTCGCTAGGCGACATGTCGCCGGCGACAGTCGCTAGTGGCGTGGTTACATAAAATCGGCGTCTTCCGCAAAAGCGACTGTCGCAAAGCGACAAACGCTGATTTTATGTAACCACGCCACTAGCGACTGTCGCGCGCGTCTTGTCGCCTAGCGATTGTCGCGTGTCGCGCGCGATTTTTATGTAACCACTAAATTATTAGTTTTTCTATCTTTTTCAACTATATTTTCTTTATTTATTTATCTCTAATTTTCACGGTGGTGAAAGTCAGAGTACTGTAATGTATAGGACAATTTGTTGCCACTATTTTATTGTGGCTTTTATATTGTGATTTTTTAGAATTTTTCCATTGATATTTCGATTAGAGATAGGCGCGGGACAGGATCCCGACGAGATTTTCCGGGATCCCGATCTTAAGGCCTTATAAAATTCTCTAAATTTTCGCCTGCGGCGCTGGAAGAGGATGAAATCTGGTTTCTTGGCTTTTAAAAATTCTAAAAAATTTTGCACTGAGCAGGTCTCCCCGAGCCTTCGGGTTCGGGATCGTTGGGGATCAGGGTTTGCCAGTCAGGGCATGTCGTGTTCCGGGGTCGTGTTTGACCTTTGGGTCTGGGTTAGGGTCATGTGCCAGAGTCAATTATTTATCTCCTGGCGTTGGGAATATAATTATTTTCTCTTGGAAAAATGTATTTTAAAATTTAAAAATTTAATCGGTGAAGTTTAATCGCATAAAATGGTGACGGATATCCGCGGATTTGAAGCATCATATCCGTATCCATCCGTATCCGTCCAGTTTTTAAAAAAACACTATCCATATCCGTCCGTATCCGCGGATACCCGTGGATATCCGGATATTATCCGTATCCATGCACAAGCCTGAAAAAAAAATTTTTTTTTCAGAAAATTTTTCCGCGGATATAGGATTTGGTATATCTGGTAGATCCGGATTATCTCGGCCTATTTTCAATTTCATGAAAAATGCAGAAACATGTCAACTGAGATACGAATAGAGCTTTCGATTGCTATATAGAACGTATTTTTTGACTGAAAAATAGTTAATTTTCATTTAAATTACTCCTGTCCCTATCTTTATGTCGACTACTGTAAATAAGATTAAATTTGTAAAAATCTAATAGATTTAGAGGGATATCGGTGGATCTATATGGGTCTTATATCGGAACTAAAACTCCGGTATACTAAACTATATCCAAATCCCGACTCGGGATCCCGGAAGTGCGATTTTGCCGACCTCTAATTTTGATCAAGGAAATGGAGATACAGTACTTCAAAAAATATTTTAAACCCCTAGAAAATATTTTAAACCTCTACAACATATCAAATTATCAGAATTTTTGACCGATTGATAAAAAAGTTATGATATAAATACTTTTTTATCTCGAAAATCTCAAAAATATCGAAAAAAGGAATATTTTTTGCAAAAAGTATACCTTTTTCAAAATCAATTTTAACCCATAAGATTTAACTTTAAAAATATAAAATTTATATTGATCGATAGAGAATGAATTGAATTTTCAGAATCTTTTTAAATTTTAAAAATCGGATCAGAATTGATCGAGAAATAGCATGTCGCAAAAAAGTGTCGCCGAAAATTCAAACATGTTTGAATCAAAAAAAGTGTCGCCGGCGACAAGTCGCCGGCGGAAATCGCATTTTATGTAACCACCAGAAAAAGCGACAAAATCGCGCGCGACAAGTCGCCGGCGGAAGTCGCGGTTTATGTAACCACTCAAAAAAGCGACAAAGTCGCGCGCGACAAGACGCCGGCGGAAGTCGCTTTTTATGTAACCACTAGAAAAAAGCGACAAAATCGCGCGCGATTTTTCTCTCCTCTTTTTACATTATCTTTTCTGTCGCGTGTCGCGCGCGATTTTTATGTAACCGTAGCATAAATACTTCAAAATTAAAAACCAACCAAATTATTAACACTATAAAGAATATCAAGAATTTTAATTGCCAGGGCCCTATTTCAATTGTCCACAGATTCTGCGGTCTGCGTTCTGTGCACAGACCACAGAACCACAGAAATTCTGTTTCAATTATTCCACAGATTCTGCGGAAAAAGAAGTCCGCAGATTCTGTGGAAACATGCACAGAATCTGTGGAAACATCCACAGATTCTGCAAAACATCCAAAAACATGCAAAAACCACAGAATTCTATTTCAATTATTTTTCTGTGCACAGAAAAAAATCCACAGATCTGTGGCTTTTTTAGTCGATTCTGTGCATTTCTGTTTCAATTATTTCTGTGGTCTGCGGAAAATACACAGAATTCTTTAAAAAATCCACCCTAAAATTTTTTCTGCGAACTTTCTGTGGAAAAACTTTAACAATTTTTTTCTAGGCCTAGGCTTAACCAAATTTCAAAATTTTTAAAGATTATTAAAGTTTGAATCATTCTCTATTTTTTGATATAAAAATTATAATTTTATTACCTAAAATTATTGCTTAAAATTAATTTTGAAAAAGGTACATCTTTTTTACGCAGTTTTTGTTATATTCAAGCAATAAAAAAATAAAAAACGTGAGAGATTCTGAAATTTAGAGCTATGATGTTCTAATCATCATGGATATCTCTAATGAGGGGATGTTTACCAGGATCTATAGAAGATATCTGTATAGCGTATACTGGGATATCTCCCATGATCTCTCATTGATATCCGTCATAATCTCTCCTCCTATTTAATGATAGATTTCCTCCTTAATCACTCCAATATATTAAACCTCAAAATCAATGGATATCCCACTTAATCACTCCTCTACGATTTTAAAGTTCCGATTTGACTATAATTTTGGATTCCAGGCATTTTCGATTTCCAGGAACCTCAATTTCTGACTAAACAATCCCCAGTTTTGTAACATTTCCCTCCCTTGCAACAACTTCTATCGTAGTTTGAAAAAGCCACATGTCGGATCGACATCTCCTGATTTTTCCGATCCGAACCCTGCTTTAGGACATTAATTTAATTGGAGATTTAAGGATATTGGATGAACAAGAAAATTAAGCGGTATATCAGCGGTTTTAAAGTGATATCAAAGAGATTTAAAGGGATGTTATGTGATTTGGAGGGAAAATTTTTAAATCTTTACAATATTTTTCAGTTTAATTTAAGAATTTTTAAAGTTTTACTTCAAAAAATCAGGTACCATTAATACTGCGGTAGTACCGAACTGTCCAAACCATTTTTCGTTTCAATAAAACTGTTATTTTCAAAAACGCGGAAATAAAAAATTTGAATTTAGAAGAAAAAATACACAGAACCACAGAAAAATAATTGAAATACAAATTCTGTGGATCAGTGGAAAAAATCCACAGATTTTTATATTTTCCACAGAAATTTTCATCCACAGAATCTGCGGAATGTTTCCACAGAATCATTGGATGTTTCCGCAGAATCTGCGGGCACCACAGATTCTGTGCACACAGAATTTAATTGAAACAGAATTTCCACAGAATCTGTGTTCTGTGCACAGAATGCAGAATCTGTGGACAATTGAAATAGGCCCCAGATAGACACGTTTATTTCGGAAAGAAAAGAAAAGTAATTCCATAATTTCACATATACATTCAGCTGTAAGAAATAGAACAGAACCAAGTATTAATACTTTATCACCACGAGATTCAGCTTGTCTATGCAAATCAAGTAATCGAGGAGGAATTCGGCGTATCCAGGTGAATAGCTAGTAAAATTATGAGAATTTAAACGAGACTTTCGTGTCTTGTGAATGTAAATCAAGTTTTTGGATCTAAAGCCTCTCACCAAAAAATTCTTATACCCCATATGGCACAAATGGAGCTTTATTTTTGGTAGGACACGGGTTAAACTAATACTGAATCCTTCCCACTGGCCCTTCTGTTTACATTTTAAGAATAAATTTCTCGAAGTTTTTAAAGTAATTATACCAAAACGAAGAAGCAAAGCTTCATTATTGAAATAAAAACTTCCACGGCATCCTGAGTAAAAACTTGGAGGCTTTCATCCAAATCATTTACATAATTAAAAAAGGAAAGCATGCAAAGGGATATTCCAGTAAATCCCAAACATAAAGCTAATAAACGAAATATTCTTTGAATTAGGGGATTTTTTAGAAAAAGAAATTCGTTAGTAGATGTTGTATTTGAATCTATTTTTGAAAAATTTAATTAAGGTTTAATGAATAATACTGTTAAATAATTATATGCCCTACCAGTTACTGTAGAGAATTTCTTCAATGAAAATTTTTTGATTGCATTAAGTGTCTTAAAATTAAATTATAAACCGAAGAAAGTCAGTTTTTTTTGCCTATCCCCATCATGCATTACTCAATAATAGAAGGATAAGGATCAGTTAATAGGGTTAAAAATTTAAGGTTAATCCTATAATATTCGAGATTATTTTACCCTCAAAAACATAAATTTTACATTAATTTTAACAGTCATTTTTCGTACTACCAATTCAGCTCTACCACATGCCAACATAAAAATTCAAATAAATTAATGAAAATTTAGATTCTAAAATACCAATGAGCAACTAAAAGTACAGGAATAAATTCTGAAGCAGCAGTAACTACAACTGATTTGAGAAGTCCATAATGAACTCTATACCATATCATTTGTTCTTTACGAAGAGATACAGTTGTGCAATTGAAGCCTTTCTTTCTAATATTAAAGTTAGGATTAAGCTTGTAAAAAATTTTAAGGGCCATAACAGCGGGTTCCGATCCCTGAACCGTGAATTTGTCTGGAAACAGGAGCCTTCAAATTTTTGGACCCGAAAAATCAGTTATTTAAACTAACATATACGGAGGGCAAAAGGCTTTAACAATAGACATCATTTCAATTTGATCACGACAGAATTGTTCGATAGTAAAATAAGCCTTTAACATAACAAAACGCATCCAAATAATGCCAAAAACACAGTTGATAAAATTTCTAGTGAGTAAATCAATTTTTGAATTAACTGAGCCAACATGAGCTCTTTAAAAATTAATTTTAAAATTCATTTAAAAATCCAAACCGTTGTATTATATAAATGAAGGAAACCAAGGAATATAAGGCTATTGTTAATCTTAGAATTGAATCCAAAGTCATTTGTAATGGATCTCTTGCCTCTACGGCCCTATCACAACCATATAGAGCCAATTTATAAACCTAATTAAAATTTGTACATAATTTTCTTTAAAAATTCATAAAATGTGTAATAAAAATAGGACCATCGTGGATAGGGTTTCATTCAGAAGACCTTGCAACTCGTTTTTGATTTTTTATTTATTCGATCAGTATTTCGAGATGTCATGCTTCAATCCTTTATTAATAAAAGAATAAACTTACAAAAATATAGCCATAACCCAATGTAACAGTCAAAGTAAGGACAAGTGTACAAATATATGTTGGGTGAGGGATAACCAAAGGATTGCTTAATTTTGGTAAAAGTCCAAGACTCATTCTACGCAGAAAATCCATAATTAATATAATTGAGAGAATCATTAAAATAATAGTTAACTGAAAATTATAATATTTTTATTAGCTGCTTACAAATCTAAGAAATTTAGGCGAACCAAATCATAATAGATCATAAATTCAAAATCAGTTTTTATGAATAGAAATACACTGATTGATGTAAAGCACACAGAAATTAACAAGTTTAAGAACCAGGGGCCTAGAATGCCCATTTTGATATTATTTTATTTTTTAGTAGAATAATTCTGGAATATATAAAATTAATTTAAATTAATAGAATCATCAGGGTTATTGCCAGGGACAGGAGCAGGCCAACGTACCGCGAGCTTAAACTCGCCAGGGATTCATTAGAACATGTTAAATATGAATTTATATAAACAACTTGATACTGATGATTTTAATTTTACTGGAATTATAAAAATTTTAGATAAGAATTTCAAGAGTTTTTCAAGTTTATTTTGCCATATACTTAATTTTCAAGTGTTTTTATTAAAGCTTTTGTGTTTGTTTCTTTTAATCAAGTGTAAGTGAAATATTTTAGTAGGATTAAATTCAATACTTTTTTATTTACTTTTAATTAAAATATAGAAAAGCTAATAAATAAATTTAAAAAAAGGAAGCAAAAATCGGAAAAAATTAAAAGAAATTTTGTAATAAATAAATAAAAATTTAAATCCCATAATATAAAATTTTGACAAAAATACTAAATTTTAATAACCATTTACATCAATAAATTCCCAAGATGGATCATCTATGTACAAATCTTCTTTAAAATTTACATTCACGATTTTACTTCTTCGCCTTCCTTTACCTGAAATTTACTTTTTAATTGCAGTTTTCATGGCCTTTTCAGGCTTAATCCTGGGCTAGGTTCATGTAGCCTTTGAACAGTAAGTCTCTCTTGGCTCTCCAATTCCATGCAAATCCCCTCAGAACTTTTACTTTCAATCACGGATTTCACCCGTGTCGCGTTAAACTCAAATCTTTCACATTTTTATATCGGCCAAGATGGATAACGCACAGCCATGCTCTGAATTTAAATATACCTGTGCTATTTAGCGATGTAACTTCATTATTTAATTCATCAATTAACACTTTAACCCACTCCAACAATTGATATTTTTCAAAAACTTTAATATAAAAATTGATAACTTTAATTTCCAATTGTTTAGAATCTATTTGCACTTTTTCAATAAAATACTCCTTCAAAATTTCCAAAATTCTTTCATACTCTTCTTTTAAATATTCCGATATTGAAACAAAATTTAAAAATTCTTTTTCAAATAATTCAAATACTTTAAACTTTTCTGTATAATTTAAAGATATATTTTTAGCTATTAACATAATTGAAGCAAAAATTAAAATAATTTCCTTTTTCTCCAAATTATTGTTTTTATTATTAAATTTAAATATTTTATCAAGTTGTAAAACTTCAATATAGGAAGTTGCTTTTTTGTTTGCAACCGGTAATAAATTGATAACACTTGTTTTTACAATATATTTAGCCTGACTAATGTTATTAAACTTTATCTAAAAAATTTTCAAGATTAAATATTATTAAAATACTTAATTATAGACAAAAGTCGAACGGTAACCCTTCCTAATTTATTTTTTCTATAAATGGTCCTAAATAAAATCGAAATTGTCTTATATTTCCTTCTTACATGTGGATAAAACTTTAGCTCAAGTACACAAATAACATTATTTTGTAACCAATCAGCAAAAGTCATTTCAGAAATATAGCCAGGAAAACAAGCAAAAATGTCATGCTTTTCAACAAATGACATTCTTTTATCAATATCTTCGTCCAAAAATTTAATTTTGTCCAGGAATTCAATTAAATTCCAAATCCATAAATAGAAGAAATGAAATACTTTTGTTTGATATGTATAATTTGTTTCCTTGAATTTGAAAAAAGTATTTCAGATATTATTTCTGCATGCATATTTTATTAATTTAACTATTACCTCAACTTCATTCTTTATTTCTTCAAGACTTTCGTTGATGAATTTAAACCCGTATGTATGAAAATTTTCCAATTTATTTCCAATTTTATCAATAAAATCATCAAATGCTTCTCCATTTTCTTCCCCTATCAAATTAGCCAAACTTTCAATTCTTTCAATTATTTTATCAACAAGTTTATTATTTAATTTAAATTTATCTAAAGCTTTTTCAACATTTTTTTCTAAACTTTGCTTTACGGAAAGTGAAGAAATTAAAGCTACTTTAGCTTCAGTTGATAAAATACTTATATTATGTTTAAATTCTGTCTTTTTTATTTCTTCATACTTTTTTATTTCGTTTTTTGGAATATCATCAAGAAATGTCGAACGGATTAAAGCATCAACTAATGGATAAAGTAGGATGATTTGTAGGACTGAAAATTAAGATAATATATAGTAGACTGTATTTTTAGTAGGTATTTAGTAGGTATTTTTCATTAAAATCTTCCTTGTCCCCTCTATAAAAATTTCCCTTTGAACGATTTCCTAGATCCTAATCTGTTGAAGATAATTTATAGGCACTAATATTTAATTAACAAGGATTCTAATAATAAAAGACTTACAAACAATCCTGCTGAATGTCATTAGCTAAATTTTATTCGGAAAAATTAAATAAATTATTTTATAAGGCAAAAATTAAAAATATACATATAAAATAAATATAAAGAAATACTTATCGAGTCTGATTGCGAAATAAATTACATAATAATGACCTATAATATTTATTTTATGTTTGTTAAATTAAAAAAATTGTCTAGACTTTCTTTTACTAAACATTAGAATAGCTCTCGAGAGCTTCAGTTTCTGATTATGGTTACTCAAAATATTTTAAATCACCACGCCGCTTACTGCATAGCTTTAGGAATTTAATAGCTATATGCTTCATATAATCTTAGCAGATAAAACTTAAAAATCCTTTTTATTTCCCTTTTGGATTATAATTTAAAATTATATTATTTTATGATAAATATTTTTTAGTTTTTTCTCCCATAAAAATTTAGACATTTATTTAATGATATCATTATATTCAAAAATAAAGAATGTTTACATAAATATTTATTTGATTCTTTATAATTACAACTCCTAAGGAGGATGTAAATTTAGTTTAAACATTAAAACGTTTAGAGCTACGTGGAATGATGTTTTGTCGACGAAATAAAATAATTAACACAATAATTGCTGACAATATTTAAATATTGATAAAAGTTTCCAAAGCTTCATATAATTTTTAAAATTCATTTTACCCTTAAAATCAGAAATCAGAAATCAATTTAAATATTTTCTTGATGTATTTTGTAATTTCATCCATTTTATTCTTTTCATTGTTCTTTTACTCATCAACTGATGATTACGAAAAGCATAATACTCCTCCAACCCCTTCCCCAACTTGCCCACCAGACGGTACACCATTTGTATATAGAAATTTGGTTAGAAAATTTTTATTAGAATTTTTAAATTCAATATACTAAATAGAAATATGAAAGAGTTACTTTTGGTGATTGTTATGGTATTGGCTTTCTTCCTCCAAAGCATATTGAAATCGAAATTGAAAAGCACAACAAGTATTTTTTAATTGCTCTGTTTGGTTCGAACGAGTGGGGGTCTGAAGAGGGATACTTTTATCTTCAATTCAGCACATTGGAATACGTACGATAATTAAATATATTAATTATCAACGATAATAATTTTTAAAATATTATTAAAATTTAAAGAAAGAAAGGGCTAGAAAAGTTTAAGCCATTACTTTTACTTAATGAACGGTTGAATTCTTAAATAATTTATAGATCTATGTCACACCAGGATTCGATGTTATTGAATTTAAAACCGACAACAATTTTAAACTTGATTTCTTTGCATTGCAGAATAATACGATTAAGGTACTTAAATAACAATATATATCTTAAAATGTGAATTTTTAGGTTGTAATTTCAAATCCCTACGGAAAATCTTATGAGTACATACATCATGCTGAAAAAGATCTGGGAAATTTATCAGCAGTTCTTTATGGAGGTGATCATGTATTGAAAAAAGTTACTTTGCTTAAAGACGGCTATGACTCCGAATGAAGGAAGATTGTTTGGATTTTTATGATAAAAAATGTTGTTTTATTATGTTAAACAAATAAAAATGCCAAGAAAAAAATAATTCATATTCTCCTTCCCCATGCGTATCCATAGCCATAACCATTTCCAACACCTCCTCCACCGGCTGCAACTACCACAGTACCTCCTGGACCTGTTACCCTTTGAAATCCTGCTCCACTTCCTCCTCCTCCTCCACCAGCAGTAAAAGTAGTTGAAATACCTCCATAAGGAGAAACATTCACAACTGATTGAATTCCACCACCGCCATTTCCATTAAATCCGCCACCACCACCGCCAGTAGTAAAAGAACTTGCAGCTGGCATATATGAATAATGACAGCAATGCCAATTTGAATAATCATAACGTCTAGATCGAAGCACTCTTAATTTTTTAGAATTATTTCAATGTACACTCAGGGGATGGTCATTCACTGTAATAGACCGAGAATTTTCCGTGGCTCAGGACACAAGACCAAGACTAGACCCCAAGAAGATCAAAAATTGATAAGGCTCGATCGAAAAATTGATAAGGCAAAAATAGTTAAGGCTAACATAAATTAAAGAATTTAAAAAGTTAAGAGCATACTTCTCATTCGAAGAGGAACAGCATGAATTTATATTGAAAAGTATAAGTAAGAAAAAAATCTTAATTGAAGCATTCATAGTTAGGCAATTTTATTAATAAATAATAGAGTTAAGGTATAATTTCAGTAGAATTTCCTAGTTTATAAAGCCTTTATAAATAGCAAAACTTTACTAATTTAACAAATGTTAATTTATAATCAAGTTTTATTGATAAAAATATTTTTAATGAAAATAAAACTTTTTTGCTGTCTAAAAAGTAACACTATTTTGATTGAGAAAATTTCACTTTTACGTTCAAATTCGTTCAACAAGAAATGATGGGAAAAGCATTAATTAATTATTTATTTTTTAATTTTTGCTCCTTTATAAAAAATTTAATTGTAAGAGTGTTACTGAATTAAGTTCTTATTTTTAAATAAATTTATTTTCTTTCCGATATTTTTATTTAATATTTTATAATAATTAGTTCAAAAATAATCACAATAAATCAAAATAAATAAATGAAATTTTGGAAACAATACAAATTAGTTTGCAAGAAATATGTACATATAATAAATAAATTATTTAAAAAATATTAAGGCACAAAAAAGTAGCTAAAGATGAATAAAATTAAGTTATCCGACATTTGAGGAACCTACTTTGAGGATTAAGCATTGAAGAAGTAAACATTTAATTAAAATTTTTTAAGGTTTTGACTTATATAATTTCCGGACAAATTTCCTAGTTTTTGGCCATAACTTTAGTTAAATAACATAAAGTTTTCAAAATTCGTCTTTTCAAAATTTAAATAAGCATTGTTCAACGAATAAAGGTCTTTGCATCATAAATCCAGAACTTCTTTGATTATTATTATTAAATATTTTCTCATCCACCATTTTATAAAATATATTTTGTTGCATATTATAATCAAATATTTTTCCAACAAATAATAAACAATCTGCATGTCTCATTGCTCCTTTAAAGTTCCCCAATAAATTTTGTAAATATTTCATTAATATTTGTCCATAACGTTCTGCCTCTAATTTTAATAAATTTTTGGAATTTTGGCTGATATTTTCTGGTATTGAATTACAAAATAATATTGTTTTGAGTAGAACATATTCTTGTTGTGTTAGATTATAGGGCTTAAATTCTGATATTATATCAGTAAATGCTCGTCTTCTCAAAACTTGATATCTATAAATTAGATTTAAATAGAAATCATAGAAAATTACCTATTCAAATCTTCTCCAGAAAATATTTTTTCAAACAAATTTTCACAAAAATCGCCAAGATGCAATCCATTTGGATATGTAACTGATGATTCTCCCATTTGTACAGATTGGAAACAATTTGAAAGAGTTACAAGACGATGGATATTTGAAAGGAAGAGACAGATCTTTAAATTTTTAAGTTTTAAAATTTTATAGAAATTGAGGAGGTTAATAAAAATTCAAATTTTACTTTATCTTCAAATGGAATTTTATCAAAAATAGGTAATTTCCTCATAATTTCAACTTCCAAAAGAAAATCCAAATTTTGATAATTTCCAATAGTTGGGAGATTTCTTCCTTCTTTGAATAAATTTTCATTTATAATCAAATGTTTACCATTCTTAAAACAATAATTTTTAAAGTTGAAAAAATTTAAATTTTTTACCATTCCAAAAAGTTCAATAAAATCCAATACATTCGTTTTACTTTCAATTATATTTTCCAAACTTTTTGTAAATAAATATTCTAATAATAAATTATTTGGAGATTGACGTAATTTTAAAGCTTTATTTTCTGTTGATAACAACATTTCCAAATCAACATTAATATTACTAGTCAATAATTGAGGCAACTAAAAGTATATTTAAGATAACTTGTTTAATCAGATAGAATTTCAATAAGGACAAGTTTAATTTTTATTTATTTGAATTTAAGGAATTTTTATTTGGGTGCCCATAAAATTTGCCTTAAAATTTGCTATAAGAAAGCAACAAAAATTTTTATTCAACAAAGATTTTTAAAGGCAGCCTATACTTTACAATAAAAATTAATTATTACATTATAATTAGGCTGATATTTTTCTTCAATTACAAATTCATTTTTAAATTTATAACTCTCCATCCATTTTTCTAAAGCCGATGAGTTTATAGTTTTAGACAATTTATGTTTAACATCCATTTTAGCTATAAGGCATGCTTTTACTCGACAAAAACGACATTTTGAGCCTTAAATAATTTTTAAAATAATTTTTGAAAAATTATTTGATCAAAATTTAATTAATTTGCACCTTTAGTAATTTCACAATTTCCTTCATGTTTGCATTTATAAGCTCTTAATCCACGTACTGTTCGACGGAAAAACATTCGGCAAGCTTAATTTATTAATGAACAACATCCTTAATTTTATTTACCGTATTTCCTCTATTAGAATGGCCCCTCCAATAGAATGGCCCACTCTAATAGAATAGCCCTCTGGAGGATGAATGAGAAATAGGAAAAAGTAGAGAATAGCCAGCAATTCTAATAAAAAAATATGGCAATTTGTGAGTGATCGGAGCTGAAACCGGAAGGTTAACAATATTATTATAAGGAAGGGACGATCCATTGGGCTTTAAAGCATTTTTTTATCAATAGAGAATCAACATAAGATAACTTTTGTTTTACTCGTATTACTATGCTTTCGACTTTCCCATCGTTTGTTATTTAACAATTCTTAAATAAAAAATTTAAAAATTTACCATGACAGCATTTTACTCTAGATTTACGACATCCTATTTGACGGTCACATATATTACACTTTAATAGATTATTCTGTCTAATTGTTAGAGATCTCGCAGAATTTCTACAATAATTTATTATTTTTTGGGTATTTTGACTACTTATATTTGGCATTTTAAATTTGGAAATAAAGTTTCGAAAAAAATTTTGGATTCGAAATATTTGTAGGTTTATTAATAAGCATATAATATAGGCAAGAGATAGTTTAAATAAAAATCCGTTGAATGGCAATTTCAAATAAGATGACGGAGGACATAATAATATTAAAGTGAAAAAAATTATAGCTTATTCAAACATTCCAAGAATTATTTGGAAATAGTATTCGAGATAAAAGAGAAAAAAATTAATGGCAATAAAATAGAAAAAAACTTTTCTTCTAAAAATGTGAATCTGATCTTTTTTAATGTAAATGATAAATTTTTTCATAAAATTATTTAAATTTATAACAGATGAACAAATATACATTTAGGTTAATCAATTCCTTCTAAATAATGCTTAAGATTTTTTCCAGAGAATATATTTTTTTATTTTGATAAAAATTGTATTTGTATTTTCAAATAAATTGTGTTTCATTAAACTATGTATCAGGTATCTAGCCGGCATAAAAGAGATTTCTCAGGATCCAAGCAAAAAATCGTTTGTTATAACTTTTTATCTAATATTTTATTAAAGTATTTCTGAAAAATGTCAAGATCCTTAAAATAGTTCTCTTCCATATCATGTGAATATTTTTAGCGTTATAAATTTAAAAGAGTTTATGTACAAAACAAACATTTTTTAAGCACAAAAGAGGAATAAAATATCACAAAATACAATTTAATGCACAAATTACTTATAAAAATTTACCAAAAATTTCTTTAGATATGTATGTATGTTTCCCAATATTTGTAGTTTTTTATGAAAGTATTTTTTGCATTTAATCAAAAAAATATAAATAGAAGATTAAAATTAATCTACATAATATGTAATATAAGTAATTTTTGAAATAAATATTTTCATTTTTTTGAATTTTTATTTTTGAATTTTTAATTTTTTTAAATTTTAATCCTATAAATAACCTTCTCTTATTCTCTAACTTTTTTTCTCTGATTTTTCTCATTTCCGTTTATATTTTTGTTGGCTCCCTTAATGCCAACTCCAAATAATGCCGATTTTTGACAACTGGAATTAACAAGATGCTCGTTTTAAACCCCCCTCAGGTTTTGCGGCCCGCGTTTCACGTAAGTGAACGATTGCTCGGGTTCATAAGTAGCAACATAAACCTATTGTTAATGTGCCTTTTAGGCATTATTTGGTCTGGCATTTTATGCTGTATTTAATTTCAGTCAATTTTCTTAAAAAATATTTTAAAATTACTTTTTTTATTTTATGTATGTCTAATTATAATTTAATTTTTTTCAGACACCCCTATTTATAAATTTTAATAAATTTTTAATTAAAAATTGTTTAACTATTTTCTTTCCTCTTTCTTTTTTACTCTCTCATTCCCCTCTCTCTCCCAAATTATAGTTGCAGGTGAATATAACTATTTATGTATAAAATGGTCGGGATCTTTATAGACTACAAAAACATCCATTTTTTATTTCTTATTTTTATTCATTATCGAAAAAAAGATTTTTATATTAATTATTTTCTTTCTTAATTTTCCAATTAAAAACCGAAGCTCAAAAATCCGAGTTTTATCAATATACCTACTCAGACCGCCGGATCCTAAAAATCTTATCTTTAAACAACTCCAAACAATCTTTTGAATATTTTTAAACAATAATTGCTTTACTTTTTTTAATTTTTCAATATTTGGTGATGACCGGCTGTTAATAACCTTTGAAAAATCATGAGCACAAAATAAATATAATAAAATAATATTTATTTATTTTGTTTCCAAATTAAGTCTTACGAAACCCTGGGTATGAAAAAAACAAAATTCCGCCGAATTTGAAATCCCATCCCTCCACTTCTTTTTATTAATCAATCAAAATTTTGAAAAGCTTTTTAATTAAAATTTAAAAAAATTCTAAATAGAAACATTTAGAAAAATTCAAACATTAGCAAGCGCCAACATATTTAATGACAGCTAAAAAGCTAAAACAAATATTGTTTCGTGGTTCTTTTTATTAGAAAAGATCACACATCAGTATCGTTTTAGTTCACATTATTACTCTCTCTACCTTTTTTATTTATGAAGGATCCTGGGCATTGAATAAATTTATTTAATTATTGTCAATGCTTCACACATTCCCCTCTCACAAAATTCTCTCTCCATTTCTATTTTAAATTATTGTTTGAGTAATAGCAGTAATATTTATTTAAAGTTTTTTTTAATTTAAAATCTTGTTG